AAAGCGCTGGCTCTTCGTTAGCCGTAAACAAGTAAAAATTAATTTATTTCTTCTAGTGACACCCGTGGGAGACGGAAGGGAAGTCCTTAAGGGCGTCCTGGGCTTGATCAGGCAAAACTGAGCGGGCTGCAGGCGCTGCTGCGGTAATGCCGAGGGGCTGCGGTGGGGGCGAACGATCGCTCCGCGCGTCTCCGCATTTTGCAGGTCAGGGCTTCGGTGTGCTGCACTTGAAAGGGTACAGACACTTCCAGGAAATGCCATCCCTGTAGTATTTCATACTGGATTATCAAGGACGTATCTTCCTGCAAATGTATTTTCGGCCCAGCGCAACTTTGCCTGTACCTGATGTTTACCCAAATCGCGGGCGACGTTGGGTACAGCCTCTCTTTACCCCAACGGGTACACTCCTCTCAGAAACTTCCAGCGCAGAGCTCACAGCCTGCCCTTTCGGCTTCGCCCTGCCGTCCGTGGCAGCTGTACGCACGCTGCTGCTGTGCATCGGGGTGTCTGCTGGGTTTAATGCTTCGTCTAAGAAAGACAACATTAGCGAAGCCAAGGCTCGTGCTCTTAGTGGACACTGTGCCTTGTCCTTGCAGCAAAGGTAGGAGAGTCAGAGCAGACCTAGTAAATAAGCCAAGCGCGATAAATGTTGAATATAGAAACATTACAATTACTTGATGAATATAAAGAAAAACTTCCTTCTTTAAAGAAGTTACTTTACTTGGAGTTTAAAGGGGTTTACTTCCTTCACTATTCAAGGAAGTCTGTGCTGTCTTGAATCAGCATGAAATGGATGCGAGCGTTGGTCAATGAATAACTTTAAGTAGAGCTATAAAATTAACCAGTTTTATTTCTCTGGCTCAGGAAGTTATTGTAGAAGGAAAGAATACATGTAAGAAACAAGATGTCTCACGCCGGGAGACGATACCAAGATAAGCAATACAGGCACCATGAGAATCATGGATCTGATAGATACGAGGAAGACAGAAGAGCGAGAAAACCATACCCGTACAATGGAAGGTATGTCTTTATCATCTTAAAGAAACATAGCACAGCAGGTCTGTAACGTCTGTCATCTTGTTTGTTTTTAAATACCTTCATATTACAGTAGGAGAGAAAGCATACAGTAGGAAAGAAAGAAATTGCCTGAGAAGGCAATTACTCAGCCTTGAAATCATGAAGTGTGAGCATGCCACATCTGGAACCAGGGACCTTAGAAACACTTAGAAATTTTAAACAATTTTTAACCTTCTTTGTACTGAGCTCGAGAGTGGGGAAACGGATAGGTTGCGTGGCGCAGTCAGAGATGTGAATTTCATGGGGTTGTCTGGATCAAGTTGGGTCCCAACTAGGTGAACGGTGGCCATGTGTCTTAGTACAGTTCCTGAAGAGAGGCTGGTCAGCAAGTGAGAGCAAGCCAAGGCTTGCCAAATATGCATTGCTTAAACAAGAAATGTTAGGTGACTGAGACCAGCACGGGGACTTACTGAACTCTCAGGTTGCTCTAGTTCAGCTCTGAACAAGTTCATAGTAATTCAAAACAAAATTAATTTCAGTAGTGACAGTCAATAAATGAGTAGTTGTTTAACTGTCTAAGGCTGTTTGCAGCACTTGATAGTGGGTCAGCCCCTATCAGCACAATAACCAAACTAACTAATAGAGGGTTTGGAGTGATCAATAAACTCTTAGGATAATACACTTCTCTTTTCAGCCTGGCTAACCTACAGCACATTAGAAGTGCGCATACGCTGTTTTCCTTTGAGTGCATGCCAGTGACCTCATTGTAAGAGAGAGGTCTGTAGCTCTAAACACTGGCAAATTGGCCATGGCAGTAAGGTGATCATCACTCCTGTTTAGTCTCTGGGGGCATGACTGTAGGGCAATTTAAGAATAGCGGCAAAGAGGGAGAGGAAGTAAATATAACTGAGATTACTGAAAAGCTGAAGTACTGAAGTACTCCATGATAATATGCATTTTGGCGAGAAAAACAGGATGAGAATAAAAGCAGTCGTGAAGAGCACTGTGTGGACTTGAAGGACTACTTATGGCTAAGTACTGCCACATTTTGGTGGCAGTAATCCTATTGTATTATGAAAATAGCTAATGAATTTTCCTTCCGTCTCTCTTAAATCATGAAAAATTTGAGAGAAATGGGAACAAAGGTCAACCTAAGAATCATCCTCAGAGGCTGTCCTTAGCAAAAGCAGAGATCAGCAGAGGATATAGTTAAATTATCTTGAACATATGAGAAGTGAGAGCAGCGAATACCAAGAATGTATTGCATTGTGGAGAGGAAAAAAAAGAAGGGTTGGGGTTCTGGATTTTTTGGTGGGTTTCTTTTATTATTTTTTTTTATATATAGCATAATAAAAGCAGTGTGTGAAAGTACAACTACAAATTAAACCACCACTTCTTAGTAAAGTGCTTCTCCGCACTTTTTGTTTTTGCTGTTAGTTTTAAATGACTGGACACATAAACTGAAAATTGGTGGAAGGACCGTAAAGGCCAACAGACCATCCATGTATCCGCTGCGGATTAGAGGAAGGGAAGCTGCAGCTACAGATCTGGAATAGCCCTGGAGATAATTCTTAAGAGTCACGCCAAGAATCTGAGGGGCACCAGCCCTCACTCCAACTAATTGAAAAAACTTTTTCATCAGTTATTTTGATGGAGTTTGGCTTAACCTAACATTTCTCCTGCTTAGCTCTCATGACAAAACCAACTGCTTTTGTAAGGAAATTTCAGTTATTTTGGTGAAGGCTTAGGCTAATGGACCAAAAGATCTCCAGACGCTATAACGAAATAGATGGGAAGTGTTTTGTGGAAACTAATTTGGGTACCAAATGCTTTCATCCCTTGCGAGCAAGACTTTCTAGCCAGAGTATTTCTCTTTCCAAATGCATTTCTGTCTGAAACTTCTATAGCAAGCTTCCTCTCATTGCTGAGGAGAACGAGTTCCATTATCCTGGACTGGAAAGTCCAGGAGCAAAGATGGCCAGAATAGGCCATTGTGAGAAAAAAAGCGTCTAAAAGAAAGAGATTTTTTTTTTTTCCTAATTGTACTCTGTTGCTGAACATTAGGGGGGTTTTGTTTTGCTTTTTTTGTTTTGTTTTGTTTTCTGGCAAGTAGCAGGATACAATAGAGAGAAGCAGCTGCATCAGAAGTACCAGAGGGATTGCTTTCAAGTTAACTGGAAGTCTTATAAATCACGCAGTTTATTTAATTTATGTGACACAGCTGCGCAGGATGCTTTGGTAGTTGCACAAGACACAGGACAAAGGTCAGAAAAATCAGAAATGTTTCAGCCAAATAGAGCTGTTGGCAACTACACGCAGAGATGTTAGCATTGGTCTTGTTATTGAATGTCTTAATTAAAATGTAAAAACTACAAAGAACATGATTTAATGTGGATGAATGAGATAATATTTGTAAGTTGAATCTAGAATTGGATGAAGATAAACCTTAGTGAAGTGCAGTGATACTAGGAAACAAAACTACAGTTGAAAATGCTGATCTGTGGATAAGAAATTCAAGATAAAAACTTAATAGGAAGAAGACTTTTAAAAATAATAATGCTGAATGAGACTTAAAATGCCCTTTAATAACAAGATCATCCAGCTGTGCCTTGAAAAAGGCAAGCTCCAATTCTCCTTCAGATGGGGGAGAACAGTTAGATTAAACCAGACATTTATAAAACAATTTACAGCCAATGTTTCTTTTAATCTGAGTGTCAGCTCAGTTAAAAAAGGGCAAATTGCACTTTTCCCATAGAATAATCTAAATCTCACCAACCTTAGAAATCATCAGGTTTCAGATGTGGAGCTGTATGTCATTGCAGCAAAGTGGACAATTCCATTTTGAAGTATACAAATGAAGAGTCTAATCGGAGGCATGAGAGATTTTTTTGGGGTCATTTTTAGATTCCTCTTCAAATATCATTAAAAAAGAGAAATATTTAAATTGGCATTTTTTCCCCACTTTAAAATCTTTGTCCGTTTCTTTTAATAGCTTTCATTCTTTTAAAAGGCATCTTTGTGAGACGTGGTAATTGGAAGCACAAACTTGACAAAACACTTACCCCTGAAATAGTTGTGCTACCTTACACATTTATTACATGAAAATATATCTCATTTTTGTTCTCTGGGCTGCTGTGGACTAGCTAAAATGTTTGTTTTTCATGAAAAATCTGTTACTTGTTTTTATGGGAACAGGAACTCTCCCCACGCCCTCCTCCCTGCTACCTTTTCCACATAACCTACACAATTCAGCCAGCCTACTCGGCGATACACAGTTTTCCAAAATAACAACAATCAAGTACAAATATCCTTGTGAACATGGATTTATGCAAGTATTTGGGATATTTCCTTTCCAAACATGCAAGCAAAAAAGATCAGATACCTGTGAAGCAGGCTAGCTGGTTCCACTAACAGGAACGTCTGCCAGTTCCTCATGTTCTAATGTTCAGGAGAGAGCATGATCTAATTAATATACATTAGTCGTTTATTCCATTGTAGATCAACAGAAGACATCCGAGGTGGCCAGCACTCAAAGACTTCCACTGTTTGCTCAGGATCTTACTCCAAAACCTCAGGAACAACACAGGAATATTTTGGCCCACCACCAGAATGTTATCCTCCCAAGGAAACCTTGTCAATGAAGTGTTCAAAGGTATGCACAACAAGAGGTATGTGAGATTCTTATTGCCTGCCATCCACCCCTCTCCTTCCAAGGACTTGTCTTAGGTTTGGTTTCTGTGTTTAGAAGCACAGCAAAGTAAAACTAGGGGAATATTAAAAGAAAAAAAAAACAAAACAAAACAAAACAACCCCCCAAAAAACTGGGAAAATTAAAGTTAGTGAATGGCATGACTCCAGGTTACTAGCATCTAAAGGCAAGATTTATAGAGATATTTAGATATTTGAAAATGCATCTCCAGAGTATGCATAGAGAGCAGAGTGGATCACATGCGTAACCACTTGGGTTGTGCAGCAAGAGTTAACCTTTGAGATTTAGGAATAAAGTAGACGTTTGCATCTCTAGGCAATTTAGAGGTGGCTGTTTCAACTTTGATGCTAGTTTATTTCTGACACATTCTGCTCAGACTTTTTCTTAACTTTGGATTTAACCCAGTCATCACCGATACATCTTTATAAAGCAACATTGCGGGAGACAAAACTATTTCATGGACATGAATCCAATAAAACAGCTCTTGAGAAATAACTTGTTTTCATAGCTAGAGAGTGACTACAACAAGTGGAGAAATGAGCATTAATGTGGGAGGAGATCAGCCTTAACACTTAGTAAACTCATTCCCATAAACTGAAAAAGAAGGCACTAAAATATTCATTATTCCTTTAAAGTTAACTGTGTTAACTCTTTAACCGTTCTTTCCTTCTGTCCTCTTCCAGGACAATGAGTTTTCTCACCTTGTTTGTAGGAAAGGCCCACTGCAGTCTGAGTTGGAACTTGCAGCTAGGTGCAAAGTCTTTGGACGAAGTCTATAAAGTGTCCTCCAGTAGAGAGACAAATGAAGAGTTTAGTTGTTGGAAGTAAATTAAAATACATAATGTTAGATTATTTTTTTATTCTATGAAGGAAAGTTAAGTAATACACTCAATTTACTTGTAATATTTCTCTGTATGTGAATATGTGAACAATTTTAAGAGTGAGCCAAACTATTTTCTCTTATAAATATGCTCTGTGTGTTTATATGCAGTTTGTTTTTCATCTTGAGGAGATTTAACAACAGTTAGTAGAGCATATTTAATGACACAGATCTATACTGATATTTTATCCCTGATAAAATTGTATCAGCAGTTTCTCCTTCAACAGTACTAAATTATTTTAACTTGTCCGAGAAGCTCTAGAAAACTCCATGCCTTATTTTATCACAGCTTTAGAAAAATGAAGTGACAAGTTATTTTTAGTTTTCAGTTTCACTGGTTGTTTAGACTTATGGATAGCTTAATGTGACTTGCTGGGGGTTTTTTTGACCCGCATTTGCTTCTCATTATTTCAGTGCATTAAACATCATTAACATTTTCAAAATGTCTTAGTTTTGGATGCATCAGTTGATGATGGTGATGATTTCACTCCCACCCCTCCCCCAGGTATTGCTCAGTATTTTCCAAAAATGTAATGTCTGAGCTTGCAGTGGAGGAGGGAAAAGAGACCATGTAGAAAATAAACACTTTTATTAGCAGTTTTACTTCAAAAACTGAAAAGATATTGGAGGTTGATAAGATTATGAGAATGTTACTCACTTCTTTAATTTTCAAAAGTACCAAGATTTAGCAAATTTCCTAGAATTGTTTTGTGGAATTCTGTATTCCCTGCAGTCGTAGTAAATGTTATAAATGAAAAGCTACATGAATTGTTTACTGAGAAATTGCTACATGTGAGCTGCAACTTCTTACAGCATGAACAGTTCCTGTAAATACTTCTTAACCATCTCTTTCTTTTGCCAATGATTTATCAGCACTCTGGTGAAATTCCCCCTTCCCAATCACCATAATTCTAAAATAAACTGTATCGAACAAGGCCGGGAAATCAAGTGATGTACCACAGTCTTTTCCAAAGCAACAATGGAAATGTGAACCTTAGCTTCTGACCATACATCACTCTTCTTTCAGTATGGCTTTTTTTTTTCTTTTGCCCAGCAAATATAGTTATGCACTTTGTGCATGTTGACCAGTTTGGCAAACGAGAGAGGAGTTCTAAACAACCAGAGCTCTGAAAAGTATTTCTTTCACCCAGATACTACCCTCTTCATCTGTGCTTTTCACCAGAAATGTCTCAAAAAGCTAAAGCTGAGTTTCAGATATAGGCAGTTATTTTTGCAGTGATTGTTCAAACATCTTAGCTGCAAGCAGCAGCAGTAAAAAGGACATCATTCTCCTATCTTTGTTATTCTAACCTTCCCTCCCTAATCCCTGCCCCCTTTTTATTTTTTTCCTACCACCACATTGAGATGATAAACCCAACCCAAATACAATGGAAGAAACACCTGATACTGACCCCTTTTGCTGGTAGGAACATTTGACACCATCTAAGAAACTTCAAAATATTCTGCTCCGATTTTTTCCTTTCATCTTGAAAACAGGAGGAAAAAAGTCTGTTAAAACATTATGTGAGCGATACCTATTCAGAGCCATTCAGGTGGGATCATGTGGCTAGCCGTACTGGATCATACGAGGCAACTAATTACGCATCCTCTCAAACAGTGTACTAGGGTGCAAATTTAGGAAGACCATCAGAGTTTGGATCAGCAGAGAGTGAGCTGTCCTCTGGAATACTCTCCAAACTTCAGATTGGTGGAATTTTCTGAACTGTAAAACTGTATTCAATTTGGTTATGCTTAATACCTCTTTACAGACCTATCAAATTTGTTTATTCCTTTTCTGAATCCCCTTTTGAATATGTTCAGCCTCCATATTATCTTACAACAAGGAGTTCCACAGTTTCTTTGTGCCATTTGAAGAAGTACTGGTTTGTTCCTTAAAACTTTTTAATGAAGGTGTCTCTGATTCTGGTGGTATTCAGCATACCTAATGATAATCCCATATATTCACCTTCTCCATGATATTTATGATTTTAGAGTGAAGTCTTTCCTTTCTCCCTGTCACTGTGCTCACATCACTTTTTCACAGAGTGAAGAATAGTCAGTTCTGTCCCTGTCATGAGTGAATTCTTTCCACTTCTGGTTCGCCTGTCAGCCCTGTGCAGGCTGTACCTGTACCTGAAGTGAAGCCCATCTGTGTGCTCTGCAGATGAGGGGGTGTTGGAGTACATGCATGAAGTGTGAAGTTACTTATTAAATACTGATTTCATTAATTTTTCATTCAGCAGCCTACCAATTTTACAGATGGCAATCATGGAAGAATTTTGTGTGTTTATTTTTAAAACATACTTCACAATCTCACTATTCAGTGTTTTTAAAATCATTAGTTTGTGCGTCTACTGTAGGTTTTTTGGTGTGTACTTTTCAGCTGAATCTCTTTGGAGCTGCCACTTAGAGTTCTTTGGGTCATGTTGCAGAGCAGTCTCAGGATGCATAAACTACATTTCTTTCAGATAAAACTAAATGAGAGGGCGAGCTATAACTACAAGCAGGCACTCTGTCCTTTGGACCAAACTAGAACTAGAATAAAGTGCTTCTCTCTCCCCAGAAAATGCCTATTGTGTAGCTCCTGGGACTTCAGTTCCAACTGTTTCACTCTACAGATCCACTCCCATTGCACTGCTGTCATGGGCATAACTAGTGACAGGCAGCACAAAACAAAGGTTTCTCTTTAATTCTATTGGTTTGAAAACTGGTTGTTTCCTCTTAGTCTTTATTTTCTTTTAACCACTACTAACCTGTGAGAGGATCGTCCCTTTTATCTCACAGGTGCTCGTGTCATTTGAGAGCACTACCACTTGGATTGTCTTTCTTCATACATCTGCTGATTCTTTCAGATGACTTCCCTTGAACAAACTTTTGCCTCTTCCCTGCTATGCTATCTTAAGTCTAGTTTCTATACTTTTTTTTTTTTTTCATAGGAACATCACACTTGTGGATCTGCCGATTACAGATTCAAAAGGCAATAGAAACGCAGAAGTCTGCTGCCTTCTGGTTCTGTAGTAGTGAAGGAGACTTAAGGAACAGCTTATAGACTGGTGTAAAGCAGTCTAGATGCTTTATATAATTATGTAGGAATTGGAGATAAATGTTCCTTATAAAGACAAACCTTTCGTCAACTAAGGAACTATTGCTTGCAATAACCATTTCTTACAACTTAAGCACAACAGTGTGTGCCATTTAAAGCAGCACATGTTGGAACAACAAGAGTTTTTGGCCTGGGGATACTTAGAACATTCAACTTGCTTTTCACAGTGCAGGTAAAATTTCTGTAGTTCTCTCTCCTGTGTAGAAAAACTAAATTAGTAATCGTATTTGCTTTTCAAAGGACCCCCTGGGGTCCTTTGAAAATAGAACCAGGTTCAGTGCTTTTGGTTACCAGAGGGAATGAGAGAAGTGTTCAAAGCTGGCTGTCATGCTGCTTCCTTCACCTTAGGGAGAGCAAAATCTGAATCAAACCCAAGAGTGAATTGCCGATTGTAAATTGGTCCTGGATATTTTTTCATTTTCTTTTTAGTATGCGTATTGGTGTGAAAGAGGTGGAGCAATGCAATTCCAGGATAATGCTTCCTTTAGTTTTGCTTAAACAGTGAAGGTAAACTAAGTTTCTCCCCTCTTCAGTCAGTATGTGACTCAGGAAATGCCTGCACTTTTGCCTTGTATAGAATTGTACTGTGCTGGTCACAATTTCTGAGCTAAATAACTTTTTTTTTTCTTTTTAATTCTTCAACCCACTTGGCATTTAAGGAAGACATCACTAAAACAGAAAACGGTTTGTGGGGGAGCAAGTATAATTGAATCCCTGTTCTTTGCTGCCATGAATACAGCTTAAAGAGGCGCCATGAATAGTGTCACATTTCTTAAGCATATTGTAGGCGCTTCCAAACAATCGTGCCTTTAGCCTACATTCTAACATCCACAATTGTTAAAACCTTCAGACCAATTTCCTTTCAGAAAAAGACAGCATTATCGTTTGCAACAACAAGAAAAGTCTCCAATTTCAGGCATAGCCAGGAGGAAATATCAAACTGAATTTATTTGGAGGAGGAAATAGAATTAGGGAG